TTTTTCCAACGTTACTACTCATACTTTATACATTGCGGCAAAAATGGATGTGCGCGTATAAACCTATGCACAAGCAGATCACACACGTCTCCTGTGCATCTCATTTATGCATTTTCCCGTTATTCTTATAATGTTATTGTCATTATTACCATTAGTAAAAATGGTATATTATCTATCTTATATAAAGAAATTGATAAGAAAGACATAGGATTATGTACAGAACAGATTATTATATTGCCTCTATATCTAGCATATTAATTATTCTTAAAAATAGAAACGCATAATAAAAATTTAGGCTCTAATAGAATATCCACACAACAGTATACAGTTATTTATATGATATTAATGCGGAGAGAACACAAAATTACTTTAATAAAGACCGTGGGGTGTGCCTTAAAAATAATTATCGAAATTCCATGAAATTAAATTATAAACATTCTTACGGATATGTATTATAAAAAAAGGCACTATTATATGTATATAATAAATATATCTTTGTGTTACACACACACACATATATATATATATATATATATATTTGCATCGAATTGACGTTCATCTTTTTTTTACTCTATTTATTATTAGTCAGGCGCACATTAAAAGATATTTCACGGAAAACAAGGCAAGCTCGCATAGGTTCTACAAATGAGTAATTTTAATTATTCGACTTACGCATCCTTTAGCGATTCAAATAAATTGGAAAAGTATGTGATTGCGCATTAGAGCAATTGTATAGAAAGAGAGACTAATTTCGTATAAATATAAATATTTCATATACTATTTATTATTAGTCTCACCACGTTATTTCACTTACCACATCTCAGCTCTCTACCAATTAAGAATCTAGAATCTCTTCTCCTTTAGCAGTAATTTTACACATTTATTCACGCTATAGGCATATATACGAAATCATTTTCTTGTAATATTGAATAAAATTGATCTTTCCAATTATTTATTTATTATAGTAAATATCGCAATAATTACTCGAAAATCCTAACAAGTGACTCAATTACTGTGCATCATTTAGTTTGCATTGTATAACATCTATAACAATAAAACTAAGCCGGCTTGATATATATAATATCAGAGTTTGCCGCTTTTAATTTTAAATACAGAATAGAGACTTAATACAGGCGAAAATACGCGAAATACTATCGCGAGATATGAATATTTTTATTATTTTATCGTCATTCGATAAATGATAATATCCAACAAATGTGTTTTTCAAAAAACAAACATTTCGAGGTACGTATAAAATATATATATGAATATATAATTTTGAAATTTATATAAAGTTATAGTTATAATTCATGGCATTTAAAAAACATTGAGTCTATGGTTTCCGATTGATATTTACTCAAGATGTACATACATACATACACACACACACACAAAATTATCAAAAATGTTGCATCCCCCGCGTAGTGCGTTTTTTAAAGTAATTTAGCACGCATGCGCTCTAGCACGGCATATCGCCGCGAGTTGAGAAAAAAATGTAGAGAGTAAACACACATAAGGGCTGTAAATAATAATCCATGTACAAACTTAAATGAGACAAAAATCACTAAAAAACTAGAGATCCTATAATAATCGAGACATAAATGCGGTTTCGTCAAAATCCTGCGAGAGAGATAGACTAGTATATATATATATCTGTTTCCCTCTTCTAATCTAGCCATTTAAAAATTACATGAGATGTAAGTTTTTTCTCGAGGTATATTATAAATAGAGCTCTTTATCTTTATCTTACTGCGTGTCAAGATAATAGAGTAAGCGTCTATCCAGACGGATTTGCATAGTCGCATAACATATGCATAAAGAAATTGATTGGTTTATAAGCAAATACATAAGGAAATAGATGAACGGCGGACCAATGAAAAATAGTTGCCTTGCGATTCTTATTATAGAGTCTCTACTCTAGGTAGCACTCGAGCTATGGTCTTGTGTTGCGCGAATCTTTGGCAGATCCGGTAGTAGCGCTCGTGCCGCGCGTTTTGTGTTGGGTAGTCGGGTATTCTCCTCCGCTCTCCTCGTCGAAGTTTGAGTGCGTTGGCTTCTCGCGAGTCGCACAGGCGCGAGCGGGAAGAGAGGCGATCGCGCTCTCGAACCCGGTGGAGGAGACATAAACGAACGCGGTGAATTATCAGATTTCGGTAGTGAGAGTGCATCGAGTGAAGGAGAGGCGTTCGCGAGACGAGTTCTCCGCTTGAAAACGGCGGTGAGGGACCTTGTCCTGGTCGTGCGCTCTTAGCGGCTCCGCCGAAACGAAAATGGCGGGCCGTGTCGGAGGCAGCGGTCGCCGCCGACAGTGTTGAGTCGTCGTAACGGACACGTGTGGTGGCGATCGTCCAATTGCTACCTGTACGCTGTACGTGCTGTACGTTGGAATTTTTTTTTTCACTTCCGGTGCGCGCGCGCGCTGCGCGCCGCTCATTGTTGCCGAGCACCGATCATAAATCGGACTGCGAACGGAAAGAAAACGGTATACCTGAGTATATTGTAACAGTTGAGCGTAAACTCGTTGGTAGTAGTAATACATACTCTGTTCGAAAGAGAGACACACACCGTAGCGACCGTGCGAATCTGTAAAGTTGGAGGGAGGAAGGGAACAGACGAAGAAAGAAAGAGAGAGAGAGAGAGAGAGAAAGAAATAGAGAAGGACAGAGACACGGGGCAAATAGAAAGAGCGAAAACCCCGAGGGGTACAGCACAGTTGGACAGAGGACGCAGTGGCGGCGAGATATAGGACGGAGTGAAAGTTAAATAGCTTTAAATCGACAATGGACAAACAAACACGATGGAGTGATTACGTCGCGAGGTGTTGACTGTCCGATAGCGACGAGGAGCGTGCGGGTCTGTGTTGAGAGAAAGAGATAGAGATAGAGCTAGAGAAAGAGAGAGAGAGAGACACAGAGAGAAACAGAGAGCGAAAGAGAGAGAGAGAGAGAGAGAGAGAGAGAAATAGAGAAGGACAGAGACACGGGGCAAATAGAAAGAGCGAAAACCCCGAGGGGTACAGCACAGTTGGACAGAGGACGCAGTGGCGGCGAGATATAGGACGGAGTGAAAGTTAAATAGCTTTAAATCGACAATGGACAAACAAACACGATGGAGTGATTACGTCGCGAGGTGTTGACTGTCCGATAGCGACGAGGAGCGTGCGGGTCTGTGTTGAGAGAAAGAGATAGAGATAGAGATAGAGCTAGAGAGAGAGAGAGAGAGAGAGACACAGAGAGAAACAGAGAGCGAAAGAGAGAGAGAGAGAGAGAGAGAGAGAGATAGAGTGCCGCCGATCGGCGGCGGCGGCGGCGACGGCGGATCGTGAGATTGTAACACGTTGCGGAGGACGAGAAGCCTTGATGCCGATGCCGGCCGAATACCACGAGGGTCACGGTAACCACGAGAACGCCAATTTCGCTCTCGGGTCCACGCAGGACGCCAGCAACATGACGGCCAACATGTACCGGGTGGGAGGTAAAGTAAAACCGCATTACATTCCGCTTTGCCGAACGACGCTTCCCCGCGAGTAATCCGAGAGTGAGAGAAAGAGAGAGAGAGAGAAAGAGAAAGATAGCGGCGGTTTAATTAACTCCGAGAAATTAATGTTTGCAAATGGCATCGCAATGGCGTCCCCTATACCCTCCGCGCGGCGCGTTCTTCCCCCTCTTTTTGGTTCTACCGCGCTCTCTCTCTCTCTCTCCCCCCTGCGTCCCCCTGTGCGCTCCCTCTCTTCATCTGGATCTCCCTCGTACCCTCCACTCCCCCTTATCCCCTTTTCCGCTCCTTTCGCCGCCCAGCCCCCTCTGTTAACGTCCTATACCTACCTATCTACGCGCTCCGGCTTTTCCTCCCCCTTTCCCGCCCGACTCCTCCATTCTTCCTCTTCTCTCTTCTCTATCCTCCCCTCCCCCTTCCTCCCGTTCCCCGCCCGCCTTCTCCCTCCCCCATACACCCGCACAACCGTCCTCTCGCACGTCCAGGTCACGCTAATTTCTTGCGCGACAAATCTCGCGCGGATCAAAATTGGATCCCGGCGATACTGTATTGGAATCGTCTCTATTCGTCGTATCGATATATTTGAATGAAATGCCATGTGTATCCATCAGCTTTCTTTTGGCAATAAAGGACCGATGCTGCCCGCTCGTCTTCTCTTCCGACAATGTGTACACGCCTAACGGAAATTTTTATTTCCGCTTTTAGCACGTGGTGAACATTAGGAAAATTTCTTTTTCTCTTCTAAATTTTTAGAAAGAGCTTCGAAATACATCTTAAAAGCACGTGGGATGTCCAAAACTATCGAACAATTTTTTCATGATAGATTATTTAGCCAATTTGACCAATTTGATTTTTTTATGGATAAAATCAATGAAGGATCACCTTTATCATAACTTTACAATTTTTTGCATTATTTATACACACACACACACATATAT